CGTCCGGCTGGGATGTATTATTCGCCTGGATTTCCAGCAGTCCCTTCTCAGCAGTATTGGTGGCCCCCGCAGTTTTCCGGTGCACAGCCTGGGGTTCATCCAGCACAGTATCCACCCTGGCAGACTGCGCCACCTATGGGTCAGTATGGGTTTCCATGTCAGCCGTTTCCCATGTATGCAGGCGGTAGCAGTTCACAGCCCACACATGGCTTAGACTCATTCACAGAGTACTACAGGCCATCACCTTATCCACAGGATCCATCAGTTGCACATGCTAAGCCAGATGATTCTGATCCGGTGATTGCCACTCCCACTGCGTACTCGACGAGTTTCTTGCAGTCACCACATTCACAGCCATTCGGGGATTTTTCTGCTCAGGATTTGGCCGAGGCTATGCGAGAGGCGACTGATGCCGATTATCCTGGCCATGCGCAGGACGTACCTGTTCCCGGTGCTGATGCAGATCCTGATGTTGATGGTGCTGATGCTCAGGGGATTAGGAGAAACCCCGTTCGACAGGCCAGGTTTACTTGCATGCTGTCACCATTTGACCATGATCAGGCTAAATAGGGTATCATGCTCGACAGCATTGATGTGTTATTTTGTTGTGTCTGTACGTATTTAGGTTGACTTTGTTTCCATTTCCTATGGACAATGGACTGTTATGTACGTATATTTTGCACTTGTCTTGGTGACGATATATTATGCGCGACTTATGTAGTTGTTGTAATTGCTATGATTATCGTTGTTTACTTTGGTAATACAATATTGTTACAGATGATGTTTTCTTTATAATTATGGTTATGTTCTTGCCAAAAAGAAGCATTAAAATACAATAAAATGTAAATGGCGGTACTAAATATTATAACAAAGCCAACATGTCAGTGTACATACATCACTACTTTTGCGAATAACTAAATACACATGTTACTTACGCATATAATAAATATTTAAGACTCATTCACTGCTGTGGCTGCTGGCGCGAAGGACAATTTCGTTTATTATGCCCAACAACCCTACAATAACCGCACCTTGTTCGAGTAATTGCCCCTTCACGCGAATCCATTTCATTGTGAATACGTGTACTTCTTGGCCTCCCCCGTTGACGTCTCATAGACACATCTGGTATAACTGTTGCATGTGCAAATGACGGTATGAAATCCTCGTTACCAATTGGATACCATTGACCCGAATAAATTTCACATTGATTCTTGGCACTGTATGCAGGGTCTATGTACAGTGTGGGATCGTGATGCGTCGATGTACATGCCGCAATGACATGGCTAGACGGGAACCTGAAAGCAGTGAACTCACCACACTGACATGTACGGTCAGATAACGAAACCGACCATTTTCGTCCCTCGCGATGAGTCCGTACATTATACGACTCTTGCACTTCAAATCTTGTCCTTTGCGCGTCATAAGATGTTACGTAATGTGTCGCAGCTTTACTTTGATTGTCAACATATAGTCGCCACATGACTTTGGCGAAGCGATTACCTCTGTCAAGCTCCTCACGGGCTTCCTGTCCGTGCTCTAAAAAATATGCCACCAGTCTACTGTAAATTATACGCACAAGTGAGGTAATTGGAAGGTTTCTTGCCCCTTTTAGAACTTTGTTAACACACTCTGACAGATTAGTTGTCATGTGGCCAAACCTTCTTCCTTGTTCATCGTAAGAGATGCTCCACTTCTCTTTCGGGATGCGATCAATCCAAGCAGCTATTTGAGGGCTTGTTTCTTTAAATTTCTCTAAACCAGCATCAAAGTCCAAGCGCGATGATGTATATCCTACACATGGCACAAAAAAAACATTACTACCTGTTGTCCATTAAACGAATCAGACCAATTGAAAACATACCTAACTTCTTCAACATGACATTCTTGAACTTGTGATTGAAATTACTGGCCACGTGGCGAAGGCAATACACATGATATGCCTGTGGTGGAGACCATCCTAGATCAGCATTGTTGACTGCAGACAAGATACCCGCATGCCGATCAGAAATCAGACAGATTTCGTGTTTTTGCGTAACATGTATTCGAATAAGTGCTAAGAACCATGACCAGTTGTCAGTATTCTCCGCAGACACGATAGCGAATGCAATTGGAAGAATGTAATTGTTGCCATCAACAACTGTAGCAATCATTAGGGTCCCACGATATTTGCCATATAGATGTGTTCCATCGATCAAGATTATTGGCTTGCAATAATTGAATGCTTCACAACACTGTTTAAATGTCCAAAACACCCTTCTGAAAACCTTGTGAGCTTGGTCTAGGCATCCATCAATGAAATGGTCACGCAAATCCAACTTATATGCGGATCCGGGAGAAAAACGCAACATGTAATCCAGCCACCTAGGTAAGAACGCATACGACTCGTCCCAGTCACCAAAAACTTTCACAATAGCCTTTTGCTTTGCCTTCCATGCCTTCCTATACGATATATGGAATCCAAGGCTAGTAGCGATCCTTTCTTGGATAAGGCCAATTTTGACACTGGGCTCCTCTCTTATCATTTCTGTTTATGTGGTCAAACAACACTGTATTAGTCAACAAGAGACAAAGTTTTTATAAATTTAATATGAATAACTGTACGCACCTAAGATCAATGAACAAATGAGATTTGAGTCCAACTGCTTGTGATCTTGGGTAAGAGATTGACTAACACATGTGTGTTCGTTGTTCCATATGCCTATCGCCCATTCGCTGCCGCCTTTTTTTTGGTATGCTCTCATCCTCATTGGACAACCCGCGTTATGATTTTGACAAACCATAATCAACCTTTTCGTATCACTTTTCAGAACGACTGTTGTGCGATGATTTGCCATACAATATTGTTTAATTGCTATCTGTACATCTTGCTTAGTGTCAAACATTTGGTCCTTATATAGCTCGTCGCCGATCTGCCAGTTAGGTATTTGTGCTCCATTCATATCATCTAATTCTTGGTCTGGATATTCCCAATTAACATTCGTGAAATGGCTAACTCCAGACCAAAATGGTACATTATCATTTCCTGCATAATAAGATATCCAAAAACCCAATATATAATATTAATGTCGTTATATTTGATATTAGATATTTTATTATAAAGCATTAATCCTTACGTACCTGCAACAGGAGGATCTTGCATTCCGACAATGCCTGGCGATGGAATTGGTTGTTCAAGTGCAGTAGACGGACAACAATCAAAGTCACCATCGACATCCGTATCCGATGACTCGCTATCTGGAACAAGACCTTCATCACGCTCTTCCTCGGAACTATCCGTACGCCAAGATGGATCGTACATGTCGTTGGCTGGAACCACTTCATACAAAATTTCTTGGGTTGGTGGTGCAAGCGTTGGGGACGCGACCTCAACTTCCAGATTAACCTCGGGCACCATGTTTATGTCGATGATGTCAGTGCATGGATTGCTCGGTTGACTGCTGGATTGTCCACCATAGTTGACTTCTGCATACAATTCAATAAATCTTGACTCGCCGTGTTCAGAAGTGCTTGCATCTACTACTAACGTTACATCTTCATCATCGACAATTTCCACACCAACCCATTGCACCGGGTTACCCGAGGCACATCTAGCGGTCAACCGAGCAAGAGTTTGACCACGTTCTAATCTTAACTTCTTGTATATTAACTTCTTCAGCTCGTGAAGATTGCATCTTGGGCTCATGCGAAACATTTTTGCATCACCTTCAAACACTTGCCCGTTTGGACCAAAGTATTTTCTTCCATTATAATAAACAGTTGCTATTAAATCATTCCTACCCTCACTCATCCTACAAAAATAGAAAAAAAACTAAGATTCAACAACAACACAAAAGTAGTAAACCTTAACATAAAAGGAAAAATATGGCACTGGTAGTTCATACTCGAAATGGAGTAATTTATAGCTCATAATTCGCTAGGGGGTAGCAAATTAAGTATCATAATTTCGCTGTACCCCCTAGCGAATTAGTGGGGAGATGACACTTGGCAAATATTACATATTTCGCTACCAGTCATGCCAAAAATAACCACATAATTCGCTACCTAGTACAGCGAATTATGTGGGGAAGTGACACGTGGCCTGACTTTGAGTTGACATGAACTGACCCTTCTACTGCATAATTCGCTATACAGGGTAGCGAATTATGTGTTCAACAGGGGTGTGACACGTGTCCAAAAGGTGACTGACCGGGTGACCTTTTGACCACGTATTTCGCTAGACTGTGTAGCGAAATACGTGGACCAGTGAGGACGTGACACATCATCAGGCCTAATTCGCTACACTGTGTAGCGAATTAGCCTGCGTGGCAGTTTGGAAATTTTTACTGTGCGCGTGGCATTCTGGTAAATTTTATGATGAGCAGTGGCAAATTGGTCACTGTTCCTGCAAATGTGGCATGACTTGTCATATTTGCTCAAATTTCCATTGAATTCTACTAAATTTGCACGAAATTCATCCAGTCTATCAGATTTCAGATGTACTCTATCAGCGGAAACCGGAGAGAGCATAATGTTTTTATGATATGATTATTTTAAGGGTTTATTATATACTGTGGGAAATAAATTTAACTAGAGAAACACTAAACTCTTATTTTATTAAGGGTTCGCTTTTTCTGCAGTTACTGCAGAGAAGTTATCTGCAGTAAGCCCAATACGACATCGTTTTAGGCGAAAATCATGATGTTTTTGTAATTTTAATTTATTTCAAGGTTATAATAGTCTTTATATTTATAATTTTTTAAGATTTCAATATCAAAATGACGTCATTTTGGGAATAAATGCAGATAACTTATCTGCATTAATTGCAGAAACATTTTTCCCTTTTATTAATCACTAGAAACTCTTGAAAACATTTAGATCACTGGTTCACACAATTTTTTTTTGTAGAGAAATCTTAAGCTTGTGATCAACCAATTACGTTGTTCAATTTCTTAGTTTTATTTTACCTTTGGTGTTATCGTTAGTGTTTTATTTAATATGCTTGAGGTTTTTACCGTAATGACATGTTTTCATTGATAAAGTACACGTCAGATGAATGGATGGATTTCTATACATTTAACAAAGCCTCAGATATCTTATTTGGTTTGCTTGTCCCTGTTTTGCTCGACTTTGTTCCCCACTCCACTCTGATTTTTATCATAGAATCTTATTTTCTTTAAGATTAACTCCAAATTTCAGGCCAAAAGCGGTCCCTTGTGTTTGGATTGGAGGAGTTGTCGCTTTGTGGATTATGTTATGCAATTTGTACGCATGATTGGCATTTGCCGGCATCAAAAAGTTAAGACGGAGAGTTCAAAGATATCATCGTGTATATATAAATATATTATGTTATGCAATTTGTATGCATGATTGGCATTTGCCGGCATGCACACCCATGGGGAATCAGTCAACAGTTTTTCCTTTTTATTTTATTAAATAGTGGACCCACTTCAAAAAAATGTATCTATTGTATGAGAGATTAATTTGCCTGTTGCATAAGAATATGATTTTCATATTGCGTATGAGAAAAATGTGTGTCTTTTTAAAGATACAAACTTAGATTCTTTAAAAAAAAGGATGGATATAAAGAGGTAAGATCTACATCTTTATTTTTATTTTTTTCAGTGGAATCCACACCTTTTTGTGTTTATATTTCTCTTAAAAGGACATAAGTTTATTTTATTTAAATTACACGCACTTTTCCTATATGTATATATATAATAGCATGGGAAATGATCTATTTATAAATTTTTTTTTATAAATTTTTGAAAAATTATATTATGTACTCCCGAAAATACATAGTGTAACTTAATGTACTCTTTTCGGTAGATATAGTACACTTTGTAACAAATATAACCCTCCCATAATATTATTGATCCTCAACTTTCCATTTTCACAAGAGAATTCAGAAGGAAGGGGTCCAAAGGGGGTTCACATTTCGTCTTATGTGGATACCAAATTATGGGGTGATAAACAGAAACAAAGATGATTAGAATACTTCACTCTTGGTCTTTAGTACTACTCCTTACCTTTCTAGTCCTCCTTCTACTTGATACCTCAAATGCAGAATCAGAAAACATTGCCATTTACTGGGGTCAAAATGATGATGAGGGTAGCCTAACAGAAACATGTGCAACGGGAAAGTACTCCTATGTAATCATAGCCTTCCTGAACAAATTTGGGAATGGCACAACCCCTGAAATAAACCTGGCAAGTCATTGTGACCCTTCTTCCAATGGTTGCTCCACGTTAAGCACAGACATAAGGAACTGCCAAATGCTAGGGATCAAAGTCTTGCTCTCCATTGGAGGAGCAGATGGGGATTACGGTCTAGCTTCCTCTGATGATGCTAAAAATGTTTCTGATTACTTGTGGAACAATTTCTTGGGTGGAAGCTCATCTTCACGCCCACTTGGGAAAGCTATATTAGATGGCATTGATTTTGACATTGAGATTTCCACACCACAACACTGGCAGGAACTTGCAGGTTACCTCAAGTCACACAGCACCCCAACACAAATCGTTTACTTAAGTGCAGCACCTCAGTGCCCATTTCCTGATAGTGAACTTGGCGTTGCCCTTGACACACAGATTTTTGACTATGTTTGGATACAGTTCTACAACAATCCTGAATGTGAATATAACCAAAGTAATGTCAATAATTTGTTGAATTCATGGAATCAATGGACGACATCATTGAAAAAAGGAAAAGTCTTTTTGGGGTTGCCGGCATCTCCAGCAGCAGCAGATAGCGGTTATGTTCCAGCTGATTTGTTGATATCTGACATTCTTCCTGTCATAAAGAAGTCATCTAACTATGGAGGTGTAATGCTGTGGACAACATACTATGATAAACAAAGTGGATACAGCTCCTACATCCAAAGTTCTCTTTGCACACAACAAAATCCTCATGACTGCGGAGGAAATGACAGCCATAAAGGTATACCCAAGTCCTTAACCTGCGAAGTGGTTGTTTTGTATTGCTGTTTTCTTCAAACCACAAACTTGATATTGTTAGAATAACATATTTGGGTTGATTCCATCCCCTGTTCTTAGGTAGCACTAGAGGAAGAGGAAGTTTAGCATTTCATTTGGGTATTGATGACCAACAATTATTATTTGAAGATATCAAACAAAACGTTAGAAGAGTGAGATTAAAAGAGCGTACATATTATTTAGGCAACAATAAACAGATGCCTTCAAAATTATTTATAAGTTACAACAAATACACAAGATGTTAGTTGTTTTAGGATTAGTCAGAGATGTCTTCTACGAATTATTTTTAGATTCATGGTATAGAGCGTAGGATATATCTTACAAAATACCGATATATTATATGGGTTTTATATATATATAATGTTGTAGGAAATTTGTAGTGTCATGTTACTCTCACAAAAAATGATGGCCCCACCTTGTTTTTTTTTTTTTTTTGAGTGAGACTCACATCAAATATATTAGAGTAACATGACACTACAAGTTTCCTACAACATGACATATATAAAACCCAAATTATATTTTATAATTCCGGCATGAAATTTTTGCAAATTATTTATTATCTGGTTTTATCAGCAAACAAGTGGTGGAAATGGCTTATCATTGGGGTGGGAGCAGCCCTTGCAATATCTCTCATCTTCTGCTTTTGCTGTACCGTACGGAGAAAAGACACTCCTGAAGGTAATTTCGACATGATAAATTTAGAGTATGGCATTCTCATTTTATGTAGACTTTTTAACTAGTAGTTATTATTTCATGTCAAATCACTAGTGGATGGAAAAATGAAGCAAAAGAAGCCGTTACATGTAATTGAAGGCAATGCAGTGCTTTATGACAAAGCAAAAAATATTGAAGTAGGGGGAAGGACTAGTACTGATGTCAAAATATTCAGTTTTGAAAGCATTAATGCTGCCACAAACAATTTCTCAGCTACTAATGAACTGGGAGAGTGGGATTTTGGTCGTGTTTATAAGGTAATGTATGGATACCCACTTCAATTGTAACAATCTGGATAAGCACATAACATAATAATGCTTTCAGGGAACATTACTAGATGGGCAAGAAATAGCAGTAAGGAGACTTTCTACAATTTCAAAAGAAGGGCTGATAGAGTTCAAGAATGCAGTTATGCCCTTGGCCAAACTCCAGCACAATAATCTTGTAAGGCTTTTAGGGTTCTGCTTCCAGAGAGAGGAAAGAATAATAGTGTACGAGTACATCTCCAAAAAATGTTTGGACTTCTACTTGTTTGGTAGGCCATCTTTATCTTAGTAGATCATTGAACTTCAAATTTTAGCTTATTGCCTCTTACTTCATTGAACTGAGCATTCTTACTACATTCAGATGCAAATAGAAAGAATGTGCTAGATTGGAGAAAACGAGCTAACATCATTGAAGGCATTGCTCAAGGGCTTTTTTATCTTCACCATAATTCAAGACTACAAGTGATACAATTGAACTTAAAGGCAAGCAATATATTGCTTGATGAAGAAATGAATCCTAAAATATTTGATTTTGGCATGGCTCAAATGTTTGGTTTAAAACGTCATGAAGAAGATACAAATAGAATTTCTGGCAGATAGTAAGTATATAAACCATCATGGATAATTTTTATTTCCCATGTTACCTTCATCTGTTTCAATTTTGAAATGCTTTCATTTTTGTTATTATTTCAGTGGGAGCATGACATCAGAATATGCAATCAACGGTATATGGTCTACTAAAACAGATGTTTTCAGTTTTGGCATTCTGATATTGGAGATTCTTAGTGGCAAGAAGAGTAGTAGTCATTATCATTCTGCAGAACCACCAAATCTAATAGAATATGTAAGTTTCCTAAACGATCACTGGATCAAATTTTGACACAAAATCTATAGATGACAATGTTTTTGTGGTCGCTGGAATTCTTTTAGGCGTGGCAGCTATGGAATTCAGGTCGAGCTCTAGAGCTAATAGACTCAGAACTAAATGAATCAAGCACTACAAATGAAGTACTGCGATATATTCATATTGGCCTCTTGTGCGTACAAGGTGATGCAGCAGACATACCTAGCATGTCAAATGTTGTTTCTTTTCTCTCAAATGATACAATTGAACTTGCTCAGCCAAAGCAGCCAGCATTCTTTACCAATGTGGTTGAAGAAGATTCAGCTGCCTAAAATGAAGAAAAAATATATGATTTCGTAAAAGATATATCAATTTATACTATGGATGGCAGATAAATGAGCTATTTAGATGAGTGAATTATAACTCAATCATCCACCTCAGTTTGTTTCCTTGTTAAGGAATAAGGACTACACATGTGAAATTTTTTAATATGAAACCCACTTCGTAGATATATCGTGAACTATTGTTAATTTACAGTGACAATATGGCTAGAAAGAGCTCATTTGTGCCGCATTTGATTGATTTAGAATATTTTTTTCTTGCTGTTGAAAAATTTCATTTTAACTACTATTTTGTGCCTTAAAAAGCTTCAAAGTACTGACAGTACCTTTTCATCTTAGTTATGCTTCTATACCACTGAATTCAAATTTTGTGCCCCTTTTCCCTGTCTTTAATTAATCATGTCCTCCCATAAAATACTCTCTAGCAAAATATTACTTTCACGCAAAAATTAATAGGGAAAAGTTCACCAATGCCCTGTAATTTGTTTCAGAATCACTTATGCTCCTGTGGTTTTTTTTCTATCACATATGTCCCTGTACTTTGTAAAAAATAAAAAACCACAGGGGCATATGTGATAAAAAAACATATCCTTTTGCAAACCACAGGGACATATGTGATAGAAAAAAAACCACAGAAGTATAAGTGATTCTGAAACAAACCACAGGGGCATTGGTGGACTTTTCTCAAATTAATATTGTAAACATATGATCTGAAGGTCACAGTTTAGATTCATGTATTCTGGTACGATTTTGGATTCTTTGAAGGCAATAAATTACTGTAATAGGATACGGGAAAATAGAAAGGAAGGAAAAAAGGGAAAAGATAAGAATGGAGAAAAAAGTAATCTGTATTGATGATGAAGAAAAGAACACAAGAGCTATGCTCTTCGCAAGATAGATTTCCCTTCACATTGAGGAAGAACTCAGTCAATCACTAATTTAGGCAAAAAGTACCTAACAATGGAAATTATGCTCCTTTTATACAGTCTGAGATTGTAACTTAACTCCCTAACTTCCTTACTAACTACCAACAGTTTTAACTATAGCCCACAACAGAAAAACTAACCAACAACTACTAACTAGCTGCCTGAGGTGTCTTCTATAATATGGGTTGTAGTATAACCAGCCTCTTGCAAATACAAAGGGTGCCTACTTTAGACCCACATAACAGTCTATGACTCTTCGCTAGACCCTGCACACAGCAGGAGGAGCTTTATAGCACCGAACTTCTCTTTTTATTACTGTCAACTAAGAGAGGAGAAATTGTTCAAGACAAAATTGGAAAAAGGAAAATGGTAAAATGATTTGAGTTCCTATCCCATTATATGCTGAGACAACCAAACAAAGGTTGAGTTAAAGAACATTAATCAGTAAGCAGAAGTACCAACACTTTAAAAATCGTAACGTGTCGTGTCCGACACTTCCCGACACTCTCGGAGACTCGGACATTCGGACACTCTTCGACACTCCAACACGCGTGTAACACCCCGTTCTAGAATCGGTTTGTTAACATCGCATTATGATATTAAGCGCAGTTACAATCACAAGGGTTCAATTAAAATCCAGATAAATTTTTCATTTTAAAACATGCCGAATTTATAATGCCCAACTGCGTGATCATAACCATATTACATTGCGGAATAAAATGAATTAAGCTTAACATCATACTCTTACATCCTTAGACCAAAGGTTATTAATTGTCTTCTTCTAATCGTTAGCTACGCGTGGCTTCAAACCGCGTCTCATTTGGAGCACTGTAGCTCGCGTTATGACAAATTAGAGCAACATCAGTGTATGTTGGGCACAGGCCCCGCGCGCTTCAGCGCGCTACGGGGCGCTCAAGCGCGCATCATCGGGCGCTAAAGCCTCCAACTGGGCGCTTAAGCGCAAGGAGGCTGAGAGCATCAAGTCTTTCAGTGTAAATGGGCGCTTCAGCGCGCACAAGGGCGCTCAAGCGCGATATCCTGGGCGCTTAAGCCCCCACTCTGGGCGCTTAAGCCCGTGGAGACAGTAAAAATTCCACCAATCCGCAGCGAAGAGCGCTTAAGCGCAAACCAGGGCGCTCAAGCGCGAGGAGGCAGTGAGAATTTGGCTCACACAGGGACAGCAGGGCGCTTTAGCGCGCTTCCAGGAAATTTCACAATCTCTCCTTTTTCAAGTCCAAGTCTAGGGGAAGATACATCCCCATTCCAAACCCCAATTGTTCATGCCTCAAAACTTAATCCTAGCACTCATCCAACCTTTCCTCATGAGATTTAGCTAGAATTTGGGCAGTATAACCTTTGTTTTCTCAACGTTTCCCAATTTAAACAAAAGGTACCTAATTGATTCTCAGCCCAACCAATTCAATAACTCAATACATAAAAAACATGCATATATTGAATTTCAAGTAGGCATCATTTACAATTCATATTCATTACAAATCATGGCACTTAGCTTACAAAACACTATGATCATTCCCTTGGCTCCCATCAACAAAAGAGATGACCAAAGGCATGAGCATAGGCTAAGTCCATTCCAATATACAAATCATAAATCTATCATTGCCTATTAATTACAATTCTATACATGTTAGCTACAAAACAACATGTATAATCTCAAAAAATGCAACACTTCATGCATATGCTAATCCAGATATGGCCACTTGCCACTGGTGGCTCCTGCAGCATCCTTACCTGAAAAGGGGTCCCCACAACACGGGGTGAGATATACGAATATATCCAGTAAACTAGGGGTCCTTGGAGCATCTCTCCACCCCACAGTTCCATATCAGTGTAATAGCAATAACAATAATAATGCAGTAAATACATATCTATGCAAAGTGCAATAACATCTCCAGGAGAAATCCCTCGAGCTCTCAAGCTGTCCTAAGGAAACTCAGATGCAAATAGTCCTACTGGCCAGCTAACTACCAAGTATGATTTACGCATCGTCATGCAACATACCAACATAGGGAAACACCATCCTATGCCACACCAAATGCATACATATACGTATAACAAAGCATTACACTATTTCATTGCATTTATATACACTATCAACAACCACTGCCTTTTCAGGGCTTGGTGGAACAATCAAGGGAATTACACCCAAGGTCCGAAGGCTTACCTCAAGCTTTAGTCAACCTTTGTTCCCACCAATCGGTTCCACAATCAATCATTTTTGGTTTCAAGCTATGGTTTACACAGCACACACCTACATCCAGGTGTCATAGCATCAATCATGCAATTCAATGAATATCTACATATATTCATCATCAATACAACAATACCACACGACAATTGGCGTGGACTTACCTATCCCAAAGAGCTAATCAAGCTCCATTGCTTGCTCCAATGGTTGGTCACTCAATGTTGGTCCAATTGCCTCAATCCTAGACAACACCAAGGCATAATCAACAACCAACCATCTATCACCAATGCAAGAAAACTCATAACCAAGTGCCATATTCTTGCAATTTTTCAAATATACTCATTTAACTATCTAAGCTCATTTTCACCGATTAAATGTCATTCCTAGCATTTTTCATAATATGTACTAAGTCTCATTCTTCCTAGAACATAGCTAATTCAACTACATTTCATCAAAATCCCAATTTACTATTCATAAACCCTAACTTATGCAATTTCAAGGAATTATGAGGTTCAAGGGGTAGAATCTTACCACCAATGGTTGCCCAACCAAGCAAGGAGCGTTCCTCAAGCTCCCATGGAGGTAGAAATTCCCAAAACCCCAAAATCTCACAAAGGGCCGAATTTTTGAGAGGCAATATCTCTCTCCACAATGCTCCCCACTAAGAACCAAAGCTTAGATTGATGATGAGGGCGAGATTCTAAGCGATTTAGGCTTTTGAATCACTCCAATCGGTTAAGATTTGTTCTCTCTCTCTCTTCCTCCCTCCTTTCTCCTTCTTCTTCTTTCTCCTTCTTTTGCTTCTGTTTCTCGACGGGGGATTGGGGGGAAATGGGTCTTCTATTTGCTTTCTAAGTCACTTACTTAGTTAAGTGGCTTATGTGGGTATTGGTTTATCTATCTATTCAACTCCATTAATTACCAAACTTTACCCAAAAGTCTGGAATATTATTCTAGGAATATTTATATCTTTATTTTTATATTTTGGGCACTTTCGCCAGTACCCATTTATACCCCTTAATTTTCACTGAGTACACTTTTTAACTCCAAGTGACTCAGATTCATTTAATTAAGCCTTATACTTAATTTTACTCACTAAAACATGCTTAATTATTTATTTACATGTAATTTGCTAATTAATTAGGTTAGGGCTATTATAGTCACCCCACCTTTTAGCGATTTTGTCCGCAAAATCAAGAACATACCTGTCCTTAAACTCAGGATACTGCCGGAGAAGCTCGTCTTCCCGCTCCCAAGTGAACTCTTCAGGCGTCCTTCCCTCCCATTGGACTTTCACCATAGGAATAGATTTTCTCAGCTTCTTCTCATCTCTTTCGAGTATTTTTAGTGGCCCAACACGAGTCTTCAAATTCTCCCGGATCTCAACATTATCAGGTTGAACCACATGAGAAGGATCAGCTACATATCTCCTTAGCTGAGAAACATGGAATACGTCGTGCAAATTTGATAATTGAGGAGGTAAGGCAAGCTAGTAGGCAACCGGTCCTACCCTACGAAGAATCTGGTAGGGTCCAATAAATCTCGGACTCAGCTTCCTCACTCCAAGGGCTCGTCCAACACCCGTTACCGGTGACAGCTTCAGGAATACATAATCTCCCTCCTCAAACTCTAGAGGCCGGTGCTTGAGATCATAGTAACTTTTCTGACGATCCTGAGCCTTTTTCAGACGATCCCTAATCATTTTGACCTGCTCAGTAGTCTCCTGAACAAAATCCAGTCCAAACCGCTCTGTGTTTTCAACCTCTGACCAACAAGTAGGTGTCCTACACCTGCAACCATACAAGGCCTCGTAGGGAGCTATACCCAGACTAGCATGAAAACTATTATTATATGAAAAC